GGGTCGACACTGATCTGAGCAACAAGCTCCTCTGTCGGCCTGCTTGCAAGCAATAAAATAGAGTTGGATCCAGCCTGAAAGTGTGACTCTCTTCTAGAGGTGAATTGGACTAGCCTCCAGGGGATAAAATCAGCAATTTATGCAACAGGAGGGACAGGATACAACTGGACCTGGACAGGTTACAGGGGTGGGTGAATGTGAATAGGATGGAATTCAATACTGACAAGTGCAGGGTACTGCACTTGGGCAGGAAGAACCAGCAGCAAAGCTATAGGTTGGGGAACTCCCTTCTTGAAAGCACAGTGGCAGAAAGAGATCTTGGAGTCATTATTGATTCTAAAATGAACATGGGCCGCCAATGCGAGGACATGGTCAGCAAGGCTAACCCCACCTTGTCATGTATCTGCAGATGCATCACAAGCAAGTCCAAGGAGGTGATCCTCCCCCTTTATGCGACACTGGTCAGGCCACAGTTGGAGTACTGTGTCCAGTTCTGGGTGCCACACTTCAGAAGGGATGTGGCCAGCATTGAGAGAGTCCAGAGGAAGGCCACTCGCATGATCAGGGGGCAGCAGGGCAGGCCCTACAAGGAGAGGCTAAGGCACCTGGACCTGTTCAGCCTTCACAAGAGAAGGCTGAGAAGGGATCTAGTGGCTGTCTATAAACTTACCAGGGGGGACCAGGGGGAATGGATGAGACCCTGTTCCCCCGAGCACCTCCCAGAGTAACAAGTAATAACGGCTACAAATTGATTGAGAGTAGGTTCAGGCTAGACATCAGGAGGCACTTCTTCAGTCAGGACGGCCAGGATCCGGAACCAGCTTCCAAGGGAAGTGGTGCTGGCTCCTACCTTAGGGGTCTTTAAAAGGAGGCTTGATAACTACCTAGCTGGGGTCATATGAGCTTAAACTTAGTAGGGTTCATATGAGCCCAATATTCATTCCTGCCCAGGGCAGGGGGTCAGACTTGATGATTTGCTTAGGTCCCCTCTGACCCTACATCTATGCCTCTATGAATATATGGAGGGGTGGATCCAGGAGGAGGTGGGAACTAGTGCAGTTGCAACCTGCTTTAATTCCTGCTTCACCCAAAGTTTAAAACCAACTGCCTGGCAGTGGCAGCAGCATTTCTGTTCAGGCAGCAGTGAGAGCATCAATTGAATTTATGGCTCATTAAAACCTACCTGACTCCTCCTAAACTCTTCATCCCACTCTCCAATAATGTAGCTCCTATTTCACAACCCTGTTTTTAACTCATTCCAAAAAAGTTATATTTGTTTTTGCTTCAATCTTAACCAGAATAATACAGCCCTAGACCTCCAGCATATCAGTAAAGCTTCTAGTTTCTTCTTACCTGGAGAAAAAAAATGTATCTTGTGTTATAAGGGATGGTGTACTACAACATGTACAACCCCATTTTCAAAATCCTAGATCCATCCATAAATATAAGCATACATGTGGATGTACAGTGTAACTGAGCATCAGGAACTTTTACTTCCTAGAGATACATTTCATGAGATAGTGTTGACAGAATGTAAATTTTCTTGACAGAATGTAGCTGATATTAAAAAGCTGAAATCAGTGGGAATCTGCACTATCAAAGGGATCCAGATGACAACCAGGCGGGCACTGTGCAATGTGAAAGGGCTTTCAGAGGCCAAAGTGGATAAGATCAAAGAAGCAGCCAACAAGCTTATTGTAAGCAAATCAGACTCCTAACAGTTTCAACTTAGAATGCCCCTCTTAAGATCCTTTGCAGAATGTTTCTTCAAGGAATCCTTTGCAGGCATTAAACAATTTTACAAATATGATTGTGCCCATTAGTCTAAGGTCAGAGATACTACATTGTAGTCAGCAGCAGCCAAAGTGTGGTGACCCCTGGTATGTTCAGTAAGGTAAGTGGGGTCAGCAGGAGAGAGAGAACTGGCTGAAGATATTGCATTTTTCCTTGAGGTTCAGGTCAAACTAAATAATCCTTTCATATTTCCTTTGGTGTTCCCTAGGAGCCGGGATTCCTGACTGCCTCTGAATACAGTGAGAAGCGGAAGATGGTATTTCACATCACCACAGGGAGCCAAGATTTTGAGTATGTGTATCTTTTCTGGCCTTGAACAGATACAACATTTGTAGTGCTCTAAACAGGAAGTGTACAGATGTGCATGGCCAAATAAGTGCTTAAAACAGTCCTCAAGAAAGGAGGAACATCTTTGAAGCACTTTCTTTGGAAATGCTTCTTGAAAAATCTGTAGAGTCCACAGTGTACAGCAGAGGGCTGCTCAGTCCCCTGGCATCCCACAGTAGTGTGTTCCCCCTGCCTCCTGCCCCTACAAACATGGAGGGACCAGGGCAGTCAGCCAGTGAACACTCTCCTGTGCTAGAGAACATGAATCCCTGCCTGCTTCTTGGCCTCTGGTTTCCAAAGGGCAAATGCCTCTTGGCCTCTGTTCTCTGTCTATGAGAACAGAGGCCAAGAGGCATTCACGGATTCCTGCCCTAAGAGAAGGATTTCTTGCTTGCCACTGAGCGCACAGGAGAGCATTGTTTGTCCAACCACTTTTTCCCACCCCACCCCACTCCAAGAATTAGGACTAGTCAAGTCAGTCCCAAGGCCGCTGCAACCATTGGGGCATCTTAGATGCTGTAACAACCCTACTCCACTCTGCCCTGTGTTTGGATGCAGTCCTTGTAGACCTGGGCTCCGACTGATCTGGTATGAGGTTAGTTGAGTTGCTTTGTATCATTGGTGATTCTTTGGGCAAGGTGACCTGGCAGTGCCCATCTCGTCTCTGGGTATGGATGGCTGTTGGCTCGCAGGCAGCTCGTCTACCCTTGTAGTCCTGCTGGGTGTCCACACACCTTCCTCACCCAGCCTAGCCCAGGTGGGGGCACCAGTTTAGTTGCCGACAAC